AAATATTTTTGGACTGTAATGGTATGGCTTCACAGTATCTTGTGTTTTGACCAACAAATATTAGCCAGTATGGAGGTCCATCTTCTCTATACCTCGGAATGTTTTCCAAGATATCCATAAACCAAGCATTTGGTGTTGAACTAAAGATTTTTATCATGAGTGCTTTCTTTGTTGCCTTAGAAACATAGGGGTCCTTGTTTGGATTCGTCATTTTTTAACCCATAAGAAATGGGTTTATTTGGCGCATTAGCAGGAGTTGCATCCAGATTTTTGCCCGCAGTTGGAACAATAGCCAGAGGTGTATTTGGAATTGGAAGGAAGATTTTGAGTACATTAGGTATACTGAAAGAGAAAGCTCAACCTATTATACAAACCGTACAGAAAGGTTGGGAGGTAGCACGAGATGCAACAAATCTTATTCCAAATCCTGAAACAAGAGGAAAAGTTCAAGGATGGATGGACAATGTAGGAAGAGAAGCAGGAAACTACTATAACAAAGCAAATGACTACTATAACCAAGCAGGGCACTACATGGACCAAGGTGAAAGATTCTTTAACAGAGGATATAACCATGCACAACAGTGGGTAAACAATAACCAACCTCAACCGCCTCAAACGTGGGGAATGTAAAGTTTTTTACTGAGATGAAATGAACAATACAGCATTGAGACAAATGGGTTCAAGATGGATTTGTCGACTTCCAGCAGTTACACAACGTGTTTGTCAAGTTCTTCCTATACCTCAGGAAGTTTTAGACCGACTTAAAAACAACAACAACCAGTTGAAAACAAACCAAACTAAAATTTTTTACTGAGATGAAATGACCGAAGAAGTTGAAACGGTAGATTTGACACCACAAACAAAAAGTTCAGAACCATTGTCAAAACCTGTCAAAGAACTTACAGATGAAGAGAAAAATTCAATAATAGAAAGTGCCAGGTCTGGAAATACAAACCCTAACTACAAAGTCACTTTTCATAGAAATGGAACGGCTAGTATCTCAAAAAAGAAACAAACTCTCACAAATAAAATATTGAAGTCTGAAGGAGCTTTCGAGACAACAGATGGAAAAGTTTACTTCACTGACCAACAGTTCATTATAGAACATCTCATTGACTTAGAGTCGAAATATTCTAAACTTTACAACAAACACAAAAAGTTGAAAGGAAAACAAAAACAGATGGCATATGATATTTACGAAGATGTTGACGACACAACCATACCTGCAAGTGAGGTAAAGTCAGAGGAACCGAAAAGTGACGAAAAACAGATAGAAGAAGGTGAGCCAAAAACTGAAGATAAACCAAAACCAAAGGTTAGTCTCCAGACTAAACCAAGTCAACCTTCATTAGCTGGTATGGGTTGGCGTCAAAGACTTATGGTAGCTGGTGGTTACGTAAAGTAAAGAAAAAACATTTTTTTATTTTTATAAAAATGCCCCCATATAGAATGGATAGAAAATCTGCTAGAATAAAAGCAGAGTTAGAAAGATATGGTTGGAAAGTTTCGAAGAATTTTAAATATAGGAAGGGAAGACCCATAAAAGTCTATGACAAATTGTCTGGTCTTCGCTACGAAATGGACTTAGAAACAGCGCGAACCAACTATCCAAACAGATTAGAGAGGTTAGAAGAAGAACGTCTTATGGACATGCCTTTCGATGTTAGTGAACCTCAAGTTGAAGGACACGACGGCTTTGCCAGATTCTATTGGAAACATGACGAACAATTGCATCCCTTGAGAAGGAAAAAAGGAAAAGGTGAAGACAAACATGCTCCCATGGAAAGAACAAGATATGCATATGAAAAGTACCGTGAAGTTAGAAGTCAAATTACATCTGGTCGAACCTTTACAGTAAACTTTGAAGAAGGAAAGAACAAAGAAGGCTTCATGGGTGTACTTGCTGCCATACAAGACGGAAATAAGAAAGGACACAATCTCAGATTGACCATAACGGATTTGGACGGTCATATATACTACTCACATGGCAATGTCACAACAGCTGCAATGCTTCTTGACGCTTTCAAGACTACAAAGAGAGAACAAATGTTTGACTCCGACTCAGACATTTTGAATGCAATTGAAGGAATTGCAAGTGTAAAATTTGAATGGTACCAACCTAACCCTCAAGCAGTCAGACAACATGTTTGTTAGATGAGAAATATGAAATGGCATACCATTTTAAAACATTTTTTAAAACAGTATATTTTTACATATATTAAATGTTTCAGGTTGAAAAACAAAGAACAAAAGTAGCAGATACAAAACCGTTAGACTATATCTTTACAAACGCTGGTAGGACTATATCAGATGAAGAAATTTCATCCCGTACTTACAGGTTTGACTATCCAATTCGTTGGCTTCAAAGTCCTTCAGATGCAAAGGCAATAGGATTTAGAAGAGTTTTGTTTTCAAATAGAACTAACGCTTTTATGTTCGCAGTATATTTTCATGGGCAATATGAAGGTTCTGATGGTCTAATAGACAAATTTGACGAAATGAGAATCTTTACAGTTCGTTCAGACGAAAGTCTTGAGAAAACTCTAAATGACTTTCAAACTCAAATAAACAAATACTACTGGGAATTTCAAGAAAAATACGACTCTTTACTAAATGGAACATACTATCTGAAACTAGAATATGACAAGATGAACTCCACCGTTTCATTTCAAAGGATTGAAATTAACCCTCCAAGAAGTACACAGTTTTTATTTTGGCAAGTAGACAAACGTTCTTGGGCACAATTTCTTCGGTTACTAAACCAGAACGAACCATTACCACCTGACGGTCCGTTCTGGTTTATACGCCCACCAACAGATTTGACAGTTTATAGAAACGTGTTTGACCCTCAAAATGTCATGTGTCATGCAAGTTTCAGTTCAAGCAACAATAGTTTTCTTTGTATTGGTAAGGACTTTTATGACTTTGCTTCTAAATTCTACGAACCACCTAGTAACAGTTTCTCTGACTTTCAAGTTTGGTTCACAACAAACGGTGTGCAACATATTGTTCCATTGTACTACGACTTTTATCTCGAATTGTCTTTCATATATAACTACGGAGAAGTGCTGAAAAAGTATTGAATGTGAAGATATTAGAAAATAACACGTTTTCTAACATCGTAGAAAACTCATGAAAACAATTTATTTTTGTGAATATGTAAGCGGCTCATAGCTCAGTGGTATGGGCTACCTCGTTAAAGGCGTCGAAGACCTCGGTTCAAATCCCGATTCGCGCAGGTTTTTTCCTTTTATGCAGTGAAATTTCATGTACATAGGTTACTTTGGTGTTAGACCCTAGTGAAGAAAATAGAACGATATAAGTTTACATTTGTAAGGTTACTTTGGTGTTAGACCCTAGTGAAGAAAATAGAACGATAGGAGTTTACATTTGTAAAGTTGGACGATAAAAATCTCTGCTACTAGCAGTACTGCTACTGACAGGAAAAGTACTGCTACTGTCAGTAAAAGTACTGCTACTGTCAGTAAAAGTACTGCTACTGTCAGAAAAAGTACTGCTACTGTCAGTAAAAGTACTGCTAGTTGCAGTAAAAAGGAAAATTTGAGAGGGTTTTCGACGATAAAGTACTGCTACTGTCAGTAAAAGTACTGCTACTGTCAGTAAAAGTACTGCTACTGTCAGTAAAAGTACTGCTACTGTCAGAAAAAGTACTGCTACTGTCAGTAAAAGTACTGCTAGTTGCAGTAAAAAGGAAAATTTGAGAGGGTTTTCGACGATAAAGTACTGCTACTGTCAGTAAAAGTACTGCTACTGTCAGTAAAAGTACTGCTACTGTCAGTAAAAGTACTGCTACTGTCAGAAAAAGTACTGCTACTGTCAGTAAAAGTACTGCTACTGTCAGTAAAAGTACTGCTACTGTCAGTAGCAGTACTGCTAGGAGCAGAGATTTTTATCGTTGTGGTCCGACGGTTAAGCCACAAACGAATGTCCGACGGTTAAGCCACTCAAAAATATTTTTATTTTTATTGTAAGAACAGAAATGACAGTCGAAGCAAAAACGTTCACGAACAAATCTAATGGCGAAACATTCACAAAAGGCACTTACAACGGTATTGAAGTCTTACGTAGAGACAAGGATGGTTATATAAATGCAACAAAGATATGTCAGCAGTTTGGGAAAGACTTTAGAAGGTTGTTGGAAAATAAGTCCTGGGAAGAGTATTATACGGCATTTTGTGAAGAATATACCAACCCGCGGAATTCCGCGGGTTGCTTTTTATATAAAATTCATGCAGGAATTCCCGATGAAATCAAACAGGTTAGAGGAACGTATGTAGACCCAAGACTTGTAAACTATATAGCAATGTGGGCTTCTCCAAAATATTGCATAGCAGTTGGAAAAATTATGGACTCCATAGACAAGAAAGTTCATGAGAAATTAGATGAAGAAGAACTTGAAGATACAGTAGAGAATGCAAAACCTTTGTTCGAAGAAGAAGTTAGAAAAATGCATGAAAAACAAATAGAACATGAACGTGAGATATGTTCTGGTTATAGAGACTCGCCATACGAACTAGACCAATGGGAACAAGAAGATTTAAAGAGAGAATTTAGAGAATATGAACTCGCTAAAATTTCATTAGAAGCTGCAGAAAAGAAGTTAAAAGTTTGGGGTTGTTTTGTAAAAAAATATTGTGAGTAAATGAACCATTTTTTTCGGCAAAAATATATTTTAGGGTAGAAGGTTAGATATAACCTCTTTTCTAACCTCTTTTCTACCCTCGTAGAAAACACACAAAACTCTTGAATTTTGTATAAAAAAAGCAACCGCCGGAATTCCGGCGGTTGGTATATTCTTCACAAAATGCTTGTTTTTGAGGTCGAGCCATTTTTGGCTCCACCGTATTTTAAACCAAACTCGTTCATTTTGTGCTGAAATAAAATAAAGGTAGTCCCACCAAAAAATATTTTTTTATTTTTATTGTAAGAACATGTTAGCAACAACAGCACCAAACTCGTTAGTCATGAACCCAACTTCAATGTTAGTAGAGATGAAAAGCTTCATTCCTTCTTCATATACTTTCGAAACAAAAATCCAGAAGATAAAGCAAGAACTTTTAACAAGTACTTTGGACTGTTGTGCGAAAGATGAAACAAATGAACAGTATCTTTATGAAATGCAGGATATTATTGACCATTTACCCAAATTGCCTGAAATCCAGCAACAAAAGCTTACTATTCCAGAATTCGATGAAATAGAAGTCAAAGCAACTGACTCAGTAGAAATAAAGAAGTTCATACGAAAGGTTAACTATGAATTCCTTGGATTTCATTGCAACCACAAAGTCATGGACAAAGATTGCGACATGGTATATAAGAACATCTCTGACATATACAAATCTGGGGAGTTTAAGACCTACGATAACTTTGTTTCGTTAGTTGCAAAATGTGTATGGCAGATAAGAGATAAAGATAGAAGAGGTAAGATATGGAATGAACAGATAAAACCCGCAACTTTTGAGTTAAAGAGAGCAATTGACGCCTTAGTCATACTAGCAGGTAAGGTTTCAGAATATAACGCAAAAATGAACCCACAATGTTCTAAATGTAAAGCAGCAATGAGGAAATATAACTACTCCGTCAAAGAGATAGAACGTATGCGAAACGACTATGCTGACTTAAAGAGGGAGGCAGAGAAACCAGCAGAAGATAAAATGGACATGTTGACATTTCTAAACAAAAACTATCCAACAGCTGACGATTTCCTTCTTTCAGATGTCAAGAAGAAATATAAAGAAACCTTCGGCATTGTTAAAACATTCGATGTACTGACAGAAGAAATAGAAGCTACGAAATTGTTTAGAATTTCACGAATTCACAATGTTTACCATGTGAAACGTTTATAAAATAACTGGGGTAGAAATGAGGGTAGAAAACGGGTTAGATATACCCATCTACCCTAAAATATATTTTTATTGAATTCCGTATGAAATTTCATGAGTTTTGTATGTTTTAGACCATGTTAGAAAACATGTTAGAAAACATGTTAGATCTAACCATCTACCCTAAATATATTTTTATTGAATTCAGCAACAAATTTCATGAATTTCCTCATATGTTTGCTACCCTCGGAAAACCGAGGATAGAGATTCCATTCGAAAATCGTAAAAAATTGCGACCCGCGGAAAACCGAGGAACGCCTAAAACACATGAAAATCGTAAAAAAATGACCAAATTTCATGATATAACTGTATCTTTTATACAAAATAAAATTAAAGTTAGTTTTTTTAAAATATTTTTTTTTATTTTGTATGTAAGAACAGGAAATGTCAAACATTGAGTTTGAAACAGTTAGAAAGATAGACAATGACACCAAAATGGTTAGAATTGGTGATTTAAACGTAAGATACTCAAAGAAATACAAAAAATATTCCTTGTCAGACATTCTAACACTATCTGAAAAGAAAAACATCCCACGACTGGGTTAGAAATGCTTCTACTCAGAAAATTTTGACAAAAAATCCTGAGCTTATGATATCGGTAAGATTCTATGGAACAAGAACATATCTTATAGACAAAAGTCTTATACCACTAGTTTTGTTCTGGATTGACCCAGTTGTTGGATATAATTTCATAACATATGGTTCATTCGATACGGAACGTTGCAGTGAAGGCTTACTTTACATTGTTCAGAAACCGAAGGACTTCAATACAAAGAGATATAAGATAGGAAGAACATTTAATATAACTCAAAGATATGACAGTATAGTCAATAGAGTTAAGGTTGCGTTTGTTAACGATATGAGAGCTGCTGAAACAGAACTGCTTGAAAAGTTTGAGAAAATGTATGGTGCTCCCACGAAAGGTAAAGAAACGTTTGAAGTAGATGAGATAGATAGTGCTATAAAATTATTTGACGAAGTTGCTGAAAAATACATGTAAAGCGTTTATTTTTGGTCTTTTGTGAAAGTCAGAAAATAACGCTAATTTTATTTTTTTTTATTTTTTTATTTTGTATGTAAAGACAGATATGTCAACAACCGAGAACACAACAACTGCTATCGTTCATGAAGCTATAAATGAAGAATATGAGTGGGTTCAGTTTAACAAACAACTCCGTCTCATTCGTTCGGTCAAAGATGACATGTACCAAATGCAAAGTATTTTGACAGCATGTTTTGCTCCAGATACTAAGAAACCACAAGACTGGTTTAGGAACCAAAGCACACAAGAACTTTTGAGCGAAGCACAGCGAGACATACTTTTTTCTGAAAACAGTGAAGAACAGCGACTACGAGAAAAATCTTACTCGCCAAAACTCTATGAAAATCGTGAAAAATTGCCAAATGGTTTGAGAGGATATTATGTTCATAGACTTCTCGTAAATAATGTGGCACAATGGGCTTCAGCTCGCTATTCATGGTATGTTTGTAAACTTCTTGACGAACTTCATAGACAAGAACGTGAAGAGATGGAAAACAAGCTTGAAGCAAAAGACAAAAGCATACAGAAAAGAATACCACGTTCGGTACCAAAAGGAAAGGAAAAGAACTATAAGTATATGATTTACACTGAAGAGATGGAAAATGAAGAAGACAGAGATATGGTTATGTTGCATTTAGTCAGAAGAAACAACAAAAGCTTTTACGACCTTGCTAAGATTTACAAATCTGACAGAAATTGGTTCTATCGCGAAAACTTACCGATTTCAATGACACCGAATGAAGATGTGAAACAAATAGTTCAAGATACTTTACCTCAAACACACTATGATATGAAAGGTTGTACAATACTTACCTTCAAAGAAGATTTGCCATTGTTAAAGGAAAAAATAACAGAGTATTTTGACAACTTCAAACAAGTAGAGTAGATGAACCATTTATTTTTCAAGCTTGACTTCAGATGGCTCAGGTAGCTCTATAAGGTAAATTGTCTTGTCAAATCCTTCTGGCATTCCGAGTCCTTCCATCCGACAGGAAGAACTCTTCCTTCCAACAGGAAAAAAATTTCCCGACAACTGGAAGAACTCTTCCTTCCAACAGGAAAAAATTTTCCATCAGACAGGAAAAAATTTTCCAGTTGTCCGTCCGTAAACCATTCAAATTTTCGAAAATTGAGAACTTTTTTCCCGACAACTGGAAAAATTTTTCCCGACAACTGGAAAAAAATTTCCCGACAACTGGAAAAATTTTTCCCGACAACTGGAAAAGTTCTTCCTTCCGACAGGACACAAACGGATGACTGACGTTCCTCTTCCTGAATGTCTTCCAAAGCCAGAAGAACCGAAAGCTGCAGCACCACAACAGACTAAGACTAAACTCTTTATTTTTTACGCTTGACTTTTTACAATTTGAACTTTGTTCGCGTAGATGTGAATTCTGAAAGAAGTATGAGGGTCTTGTATGACTTTGTACTTCTCCCATAGTTCATGTCTGTCAAACTTACCTGCCATGGACTCTTTCATAAGTTCCATGAAATCGTCTTCGGACAATCCAGGGAAAAGTATGATATCAGTCAGTATTCTCTTTACATCTTTACTTAAACTCTTTGCTGTCTGTACACAAATGACAACTGAGATGTTAAAGTGTCTGAGCTTCTTAAGAATTCGACACATGTCTTGTTCTCTATTCTTTAACAAAGGATGAGAAGCAAAGTCATCTAAATAAGAAGACACCTATGAGGTATGTCTTCCAATCGTAAGATTGCAATTTCTTCGAAATGTATTCTATCTCTTTCTGTTTGTTTCTGAAGTGTTTCTTCTCTAATATTCTCTGCATTTCCTCATTTGGGTCTTTAAACTTCGAATTTATATACTCATTTATAGCATTGTACTCAAAACTCTTCTTTGGTACTTCTTTATCCAATCTAACAACTCAGAGTCTTTTATACATACTAACTTAGACTTCTTTATAATATCTTTGAACAATTGACGGTTTGGTCAAATTGACCAGAAGTACTACAAATAACAACTAACTCATAGAATGGGTTCTTCTCATCTAGTTCTTGTGTGTTGTGCAGCCATTTTAAGATAAGTGAAAAGTCTTGCCCGACCCAGGTGGTGCGATTAGACCTTTATACCATTCTGAGCAAATAGGAACTTTTCATGTATGGGTTTTATCTGAGCATTTTCTAACTTCCTCTTGTTCTTGTTTAAAACATTCTCAAATTTCTTGTCAATGTCAGCAAACTTTTTTTCTAACATATTTTTAAAAAATTAAAATTTTTATCTTTTAGAAAATGTCTAGCGATTTCGCTATCTATATTCGAGACAAGCTTTTCGACAGCAAAACATCTGTCGACCATAAAATCTTACATAGTGTAAACAAGAAAGGTGAATTTGTTCTAAAGTTCTGTTCTGGAATATGACAAGAAATAAAACATTAGGCAGAGAAGTCTTTAAGTTTGTCAATGACAGACTTGTTGACAGAGATGACACGATTGGAAAGATGAAGTCCAACAAAAGTTCTTAGAATGCAAAGAAGACACATGCGCTGTTCTTGAAGATGAAATAGGAAACAGAATAGAAGAGCTATTAAAGGACAAAGAACTTTTACATAAATATGGTTCTGAGAAATTTGACATAACTCCACCAGAAAAGAAGAAGAAGAGAGAAAAGAAAGAAAAGAAAGTAGAAGAAGAGAAGAAAGAGCCAGAGCCAGAGCCAGAGAAAAAGAAATTTGACATGTAAAAATAAAATTTTATTTTTAGAACATTTCTGGGTCAATGTCAATGTTTTCTCTTCCTCTTTAGGAGCAAACACTGGCTTAGACTCTAAAATCTTTTTACCTAATTTACCTTGAACTTCAACTATCTTAGACTCATAATATTCATAGTCGTCTGCTTTCTTTGGTTCATAAGGTATAACAAGTTTGTATGCTTTGCCTTCTTTAAGGTTTGAAAACCTTCTGTCAAAATTTTCTTTGACTGTCAACATACCGTCAATGTCTAAGTCTTCAAATTTCGCACCATTTTTAGTCACAATAGCAAACTTAACGGGTTCGATGTTCCAAACTTTGTCAATGAAGACTTTTTCAAAATGGTAGAAGTAAACATTCAAATAAGCGAATGGAGCTAACTTATCTTTGACTTCTGTCATGTACTTGTTGACTGAAATATATTTCGTCATCTTTTCTATCGGATAAAAAAATTTTTTTTTAAAAAACGTTTTAAAATGGTATGCCATATAGCTTCTTGAATTTGTTAAGAATATAGTCTAACGTATTTCCATCTGTATCTCTAGCGTTTACATAAGCATAGCCCGCCTTAGTAAAACATACTTGTAATTTTCTATAGTTTACGCCGGTATAAAAGTAGAAAGAGTCTTGTTCTTCGCTATAGTAGTAAAACTCCAACGTATGCTTACCATAGTCTGTAATTTCAATTGCTTCGTCTTCTAGTTTGTCGACAAATTCGAATACAATATCTCCAATTTTGCCTATGTGTCTTATTGTTTTCAGAACAAGTGACCCAGCGTAAGTTTTCAAGTCTATTGTCATTTCTTATATGGTTTATATGGTCTACAAAAGGTAGATTGTTAGAGTTCGGTATAAAATGAGTTGCAATGACAATATGTTTAAAATAGTTTTTTCCACCCATCTTCATAAGAGCATATCCGTCATTTCGCTCCCATTCGCTTAAAACTCTTTTTGTCTTTTTGTTTCTGACTTCAAATGACTCACAACAGTGAATTTCATATTTCTCATCTAACAAACAAGTTTTCCAACAGTCTTTTCCAACAAACTCGGCGTACATTTCAAATAAAATAAAAAAATATTTTTTTTAAAATTTACTCAGAAAAATTTTTCTTTGTATATACGCCGTTCTGAACATCTAAAAGACTTTTGACATTTGCCAAGAATGTTCGTTTAGACGCTGTCATATAACCATACTCTTGACAATATTGTTTATATTCATCGTACAATGACCTTTCATCTAAACACTCAAAGTTAGTCTCATCTATAAACAGTTCATAAACACTCTTGTTTGCTTCTAACAATGTTTGTCTTTCTTCGGTATATGGAATTTGTCTTGGATTGAACTTTGAAATATCTAATGTCATGAAATATGAGAACAAGTGGTTGTAAAAGTTAGGTGTCAAAGTTTCTGCTAAGTCGTCAAAATATTCTGTATCTTGCATATGAGAATCTGACGTTCTGACAACTACATATCTTCTGTCAGAACTTTCTAACTTCATCGGAACAACATTGTTTGAAACCATGAAAATTTGCAACATTTTCACAAACTCTTTGGTCTTTATATTTTCTTTCAACAACTCCAACTTTGTCTGTTATAAGACTCTTCAAAGCATCTGAGTTTAAAACCTTTGTTGTATCTATACTTTGAAGTTTCGTTACATACTATAAGTTTCATATTCTCTATTGAAGAGTTAAATTTACCGCAGATGTTTTCTAAGTTTGTCATATAGGGTTCGAATAGCCCTCTAACAGTTTGCATAAGATATCTGTAAAGAAAGTGTTCTTACCAGTTCCTTGTTTTCCAATTAAATGAGAGCAGTTTCATTTTTAGCACTTGGATATTGTAAGATGTTTTGCAAACCAACATAAGATATACTCATAAACCTTTTCGTTTCCATTGCATATAATTTCTTTGACATGGTCTAACCAAGCTTCTATAACATTTTCTTTCCATTCTACTTGTTCGTATTTATATCCAGTGAAGATAGAATAGAAGTTTGGAGATGGTGTATAGAACTTTATACCACGAACTGAAAAATCTTCTAACTTTGACAATAAGATATCCCAAGCATCTAACATCTTCATGCCAACTTGTACAACTTTTATTTTCTTAAGTTTCTGTCTACATTCTTGTTCAGACACTATTGTTGCTCTTGGTTTGTTAAAGACAACATCCCATTCTTTCATAACATAACATTCTGGGGCAGAGTCGACATAAATGACTAAACGTTTCAAATTCTCGACTGCTTTGTTATAGTCTCTAAATGGACACATATTTCTGAACGCTTGGAAGTCATAAAAATCTGAAACATCTATTCTGTACATTTTTATAAAAATAAAAAAATAATATTTTTTTATTCTTGACTTTGTTGTTGCATTTGTTGCATTTGTTGTTCTTGAGCTATTTGTTGTTGAAGTTGTTCTTGTAGTACAATACTTTCACCAGTTGCATCTTCCAATTCGAAACTTTCTGCCGTCATTGACAAATACATAGGACATAAAAGTTTTACAGGAACAAAGTTTGCGTCAACTAAGGTTAAGTTATGTTTGCTAAAGTGTTTGAGTTACTAAAGCTGAAAACTCTGCATTCGAATGAACAATAGGCAAACCAGCAGAGAAAGTGTTGTTTATACGCATGAGTATCTTTTGGTCATAGTAGTTTCTGTCGACATTCGAATAACACTTTGAACCTAAGTTTGAAACAATATATAAATAGGTGTACTTAAAGTCAATGGAACAGACAAACCTTGTATGACACCTTTTCCTGTTATAGGAAACTGTTGGTAGTAAAAACCAGATATAAGTTTTGTATTATAGCTCATATCGTTTATAGTAAACTCAGTCGGACATCCAAAACATAATGAAACCTGCTCTAGTTGCAGCACATGTTACATCCGTCCTTAAAGTATTAAATAAGTCAACAAAACCTGTTGGTGGTATATCTGAGTAAGTATCTTCAAAGGAGTATTTTTTACCATTCACAACAATAAAATCTTCTGGTGTCAAAAGAGCAAAACAGGCTTTAGTCGTCATTGTGTTTAAGGTCAGTTTACAATATCGTCCTTGAGGACTTTGTAAGTTTGTTGTTATAGAATTATATGACTCAGGGTTTTTAGTCGTAATAGTATAAACCACTATGTCTTCTGCCATTTACTTAGCAAGTAAATTTTAATGAAATGTTGTGGTCGTCAAATATTTTTATGACAGTCTGGGAAACTATATTTTAAGTTCAACGTTTCACCTCCTTTCATAACGTATATCTTGTCAATGACATTATATGAAACACCACAGCAACTAACGTCGGGTTCTATTTCTTTGATGTTTATATCGTCTGCCTCTGTCAAAAGTTTCAATAGTTCTTTCAAAATTTCATGAGGTGCGATGACATATGAGTTCACTTTTACAGGGTTGTGTTCGACCAAGTTTAACATTATACCTAAAGCTTGACAAATCTTCTCCTGAGTTTTAAGTTTGTCTTTAAGTTGTTGGTAGTCGTTTCGAATATCTGCAACAGAACTTAAGTCTCTGCTAACTTCAGGATATGTTGGTTGTTCTTTTACAGGAACTATTGTTATACCATCTTCGTCTTCGTATGGTTTCCCCACTTCAACATCTCTTTCTTTGACATTGACAACAACACTTTGACTGTTTGTTTGAGTTGGTGAATTTAACTTCACATCTGCCACCGCCATTAAACCTTTTGAAACACTCACGCTTCTATTTTTCGGAAATGACATTTTACTTAGAATAAAAAGATGGACGTATTCGAGTATCTCTTCGAATTGAAGCAGAACAAAGTTTACACACACAAACAATACAAGTTCATTGACAGAATAGTTCTTTACACAAACAATGGAAAATGTTATAGAATAGCAGTCTTTGCTGAACCAAAATATTTTCATAAAGCAAAGAAAGTTGGTATAACCGAGATGGTGAAAGTTCTTGAAGCAGACAAAAATATAACAACAAAACTGACCGATATTTCTAAAGGTAAGTTTATCTTACAATTTTATGTCAAAACTGGCGTACTGTCAATATTTGACGGAGAGAAGTCAGTTCAAGAACAACTTACTGACCTGCTGCCAAAATCTGCTCGATGGAAGCTGTCGTTATACCAATCTGAGGAGCCCCAGCAGGTTTCATCGAACGAATTTTCAAAAGAGCATCTTCCGTGAAAAGTGCTATTGGTTTTGTAAACTTCTTTGCTTTCAATTCATTTGGACCGTCTCTGTCACCAGTATATTGTATTTGAACTGTACCAACAGTTGAAATACCACCCATAAAGTCTTCTGAGTCAGCAAATGGAATGCCAAGCCAAAAGTTTGAACGGTCTCCATTTGTATATTGAGTTTTTTGACCTCCTGTATGAGTCCATACTTTCACATATGGCATAATAGAACTTTGCATTTCAGGGTTAATGGTTGTTGTGAAGTTGTTGTTAAAGTTCATAGCATCTAATGTCAAGTTGTATGACCTCATATCCTCAACTGTAGAATATTCTTCTCTTGGATAATATTTGCCATCTATGTTTATATGATATTTAATACCAGGGTTGTAGAAACAAGAATAGTCATTTATAGTTCGTCTGAACAGTACAAACATAGTATCTGCATGTTTCATTGCAGTTGTTAAAGCAATATCTGTTCTTGCACCTGGGTCAGCACTTTGGTTTCCAACTTCACCTGCAAAGTCTTTGACAGATATTTGGTGTATAGGGAACATAAGTGGAACTGCAATATATTTGGCAGCTAAAGCATTTGAAATATCTGGGTCCAACATATAGACTGCAAGTCTGCTTTCTATTCTCTTGCATTCAAACTTTTCGCATGTGAACTTAACTGGGTCCCAAGCAGTTCCAGCAGCATTGAAATAATAGTTTACTTCAGTGTTGAGGTTTGAGAAACCAAAGTCTAAGTCAACTTTGTCTTTGCAAAATTCGGCGAATGACGTTTGATTTGTTCCCACTACGTCTGTAAGAGTGAATGGGTCTTGTGTTGGTGCAATGACTAAGTTATTTTTGCTTGGAGTAAGTTCAATAGAAATTTTTCCTGCCCAGTTTGGCAAGTATCTTAAAAACCTGAAGATGAGGAAAGATGACAAAGGAACTCTAAGTTTCAGTTTTACTTTGGTTACTGCATTTCCATCTGTCCAGAAAGGTTAACATAAACTCCTGGAACGTTAGGGTCAAGTCTTCTTATTTTCTCAATGGTGGCATACTGGTCTGTTTGTTCTCTAGCTTGTGGTTGTACTGAGTTTCTCAAAGCGAACCATTCATAGTTTGCCCATGTTACTGTTTGAACTAAGTCAGAGTTAGAATATATCTTATATCCCATGAAAACTTCTGGAGCATATTGGTATCCGACATAGAAAATTCCATTGCAACCTTTCTTGTCAGACAACTTGGCAGAAGGTTTTATTTCAATGTCTTGTTCCACGTATAAGAAGAGTTGTCAATAGAAATAATATGAAACCTGTCGCAAGCAATATCTACTGTTGTTGAAGAACCTTCTCCAAACTCACCTACGTTTCCATAAGAAACAGCAGTTGTATATTCGTAAGTTCCAGGAACTATTTCTGACCTTCTAATGGCATTGTCGCATTCGTTATACCATTCGGAAACATTTCCATTCATAGCATCCAAAACTGTTGGCGTTATATTCTGAGCGGCGTACATTTCATATGAGTAAAAATATAGAATAGTTGGATTTATATGTCATAATAGAACCCACGTGGACCAAGCTTTACTTTCTTCCTGACTGAGTTTTTAACTCTTCTTTTTCCTTCATTGCCCTCTGCTTGAAGTTGTTGCATCTTTGCATTATGTTCATCTAGTATGTTGCAAATTTCCCATGTCCTTTTTGCCTTTTGGCTCTGGTCGCCCATCTCAGGTAACCTATATCCTAGAAAGAGTTTGTCATAGTCTGTATTTGAGTCTTTGCGTATTGTTTGCATGACTCTTTCCTGAGTTTCCGGTTCAAGCTCTTCAAACAGTGCCTGTCCATATGGAATATGCTCGTTTCCAAATATATGTTTTTGTAGCCATTCTGGTTTTCTTTCCATGTTACCAACAAATTTTTGTGAATGGGAAAGCTTTTACCCAATCTTTCAGTCTTGCGTCGTTTATTTCTGTAGTTGGTTTTATTTTGTCAAGGAACATGTTTTTCAATACTAACATTTCATTTGGTACTGTCCATTTGAGTTTTCTTAAATATTCATCCCTTCTCGGTTCATTGTCTGCAAAGTAAGTTTTTATGACATTTTGTAAACTTTCGTTTGCAAGGTCATGTACAATAGGTTCTCTTCCTTCGCTCTCCCTAACTTTCTTTCTAAACTCTTCACCAAATATACCATCTCTATGGTTCTGTGTAGTTCTTTGAGATAAATGTTCTAGAACGTCAGGTGTTATATTTCCATCAGCCATGTTCATTTCATACTGGTCCAAAATATCTGCATGTTTCATATCTTTCAATGGCATTAAAGCCGCGCTGAAAATACCAGCTATATCTCGTTCACCATTCTTCCATTGCGTCTACAACTTCTTGGAATTGGGTTGTAAGTTTATGAACCACCTATCCGGATTAGCTTTATGACCCCATCTCATTGTAGTTCCATCGTCTGCAGAAACAAAAGTAGGTTTGTTTCCATCTTGGTTAGGTTCTGAATGAACTTTAAACAATGTTTCATTTCTATATGTTTTTCTTGAAATTTAACCTTTTATTTTCACCGAGTTCATCCGAAGATTGAACGTTAAATGCTCGTAAGTAAAAAGGGTTGTTGTATTGTGTACATTTTCTTTCAGTACTTCCATTCTATGCTGAATATTTTCATCTGGTGTTGGAGTCTTTTGTATGTCGGCAAACATTTTTCGATATTCTTCTACTATGTCAGCCGAATTTTTCTTAGACTCTTGGAAAGATTCCATATTCACCTCATACTCTTGTTGAGGGTCAAGATTTTTCGGCTGTTCCAAATCTTCATCTAGTTCTGTGAAGTTAGTTTCCAAAGGAGTGACTTGTTCGTTTCCTTCAGGCTCTTCTAGCTGTTGTTGCTGAACTATTTCTTCCATGTCTGGTTGTATCTGAACTTCTTCCTGTGGAGTTTCTTGTACCTCATCTGCTGGCATTTCATATATTCCGAGACCGTTTTAACAATTTCCCTATCTACGTCATCCGCATTCATAAGCTTTTGTTCTTTCGTTCCGTCTCTATTTTTTACGCGTTTCATGACGAAAGTTGAATTGTCATTTAGCTCTGACATCAAATATCTCGGAGTAAATTCATCCATGTCATTTGGATGATATGCTATTAAATCATATCCCTTAGCGAGCTTGTATTTTCCAGGTTTGAGATTATATCCGTTTTGGTGCTGAGCCATAAAGCTAAATAGGTTCGGGTCAGTATTTCCATCCTTGAACTTTCAATAGCTTCTTTATATCTGTCACTAAAGTCAACAGTATCTGGGAAACCACACTCTTCTTTAAGCATTTTTAAGAATTCTTGGTTTCCTTGTTCTCTACTTCTTTTATGTCCTTGCTCTGTTTGTGGTTGTTGTTGTGCAGGGTTTTGAACTGTTGGTTGCTGTGCTGGTTTTGTGTTGGTTGTTGTGCTGGTTGTTGTTGTTGTTGTGTTGTGTTTTGGTGCATGCCTGTGTCTGTGTCCATGTGACGATGTAAATGTTCTAGGTAGTCCTGGTGCAGGTGCTTCTCTTGGAGGGTTTGGTGGTATATAAGTTCCACCAGCTGGCACATATGTTCCATCTGCAGCGTAATGTCCTACCTGACTTTTCGTTTTTAAGAAAGCATTTACTAGGTCTGTTTTGGTCTGTTGTAACTCTTTTTCTTGACTTTTCACAACAGTTGCTCTAACGGCGTCATAGGCACTTTGAACTGCCTGTCTCGTTGCTGCATCTGTTATTTTCGTCATATTTTGTGCTACTTCTTTTAACTCTTTGTCGAAACCTTCAGACTTCAGTTTCTTTCCAGATGAGAAGTCGTTCACTTGTTTCACCTTACTATGAAGAGCTTCGAAAGCGTTCTTAAAGTCAGCATTTGTTAAAGCTTCATTTGAACTATCTTCATCCGCTTGTATTTTTGTCCTTATTGACCCTATAAGCTGGGCTGCTTTAGCGTTGGCTTGGGCATCTAACCAGTCATTGTTAGCTTTTATATATTCTGCGCTTTTCATTGCCTTTTGCATGGCTGCGTCGTTATTTTTACTTTCTTGTGCTAAGTTTTCATACTGTACGGTTTGGTTTTGCAACTGTAAAAGTTTTTCTGCCTTTACATTTGCTTCAACTTCTTTTTTATACTCATCGCTATCCATATATGTCTTCAGGGCTTTTTGTTTTATCTCTTCATCTTTCAGTACTTTATATTGAGTAGTATGGTTTTTCAAATTTACAACATCTTGTTCCATTTTTGCTACTTCTGCTGCTTTTTCTGACACTTTTTTCGCATATTCCTCTGTACTTAGTTCTTTCAGTTGTTCTTCTTTCTTCTTTTTCTCTACGTTTAACTCATTGAGTTTCTTTGTGTGTCTGTCATATTCTAGTTTCTTTTCGTTTTCACTTATTTGCTTCTGTATGTCTATGTTTGACTTTTTGACATCTGTTATTTGATTTTTGAGTGAACTCAAATTCATTTGACTTTGAGGGTTATAGGCTGTTCCGTCTGCAGCTCCACCATAGCCTGCCATTTTCGCTAAAAGTGCCGCTCTTAAACCTCCACTCTGTGCACCAACAACTCGGTTTAAAAGCATAGGATTGCTTGACATTTGTTGCAACATAGTGGGGTCATTCAGCATTTGTTGTTGCAACTGTTGTTGTGGTGTCAGTTTTACTATTGGATGTTTCAATGCTCTCTTCCTCTTACGTATATTCTTACGTAGCTTACGTGGCATTTTAAGTGAAGTTAAAAAGCGGCTTTTGACAGATGTTTATATGACACTTTCTACCCTCTTGAATTTTCATGAACTTTCTTGTCAATTTTTTGTTGAGACTTCTTCGTAAAGACTTTGTAAAGACTTTCTCATGAACTTTCTTGTCAATTTCTTGTCAATGTTTTGTAAAGTTCTTCATCGTAAAGACTTTGTAAATGACCCAAAAATATATTTTAGGGTAGAAGGTTAGATATAACCTGTTTTCTAACCTCATTTCTACCCTCTTGAATTTTCATGAATTTCTTCGTAAATGTTTTGTCAAGACTTCTTCGTAAAGACTTTCTCATGAACTTTCTTGTCTATGTTTTGTAAAGTTCTTCATCGTAAAGACTTTGTAAAGACTTCTTCGTCTAATTTCTCATGAACTTTCTTGTCTATGTTTTGTAAAGTTCTTCATCGTAAAGACTTTGTTGAGAAAGTTCATGAAAATTCAAGAGGGTAGAAATGAGGTTAGAAAACAGGTTATATCTAACCTTCTACCCTAAAATATATTTTTGCCTGATTTACACTCATTGACGATGAAGTTTTGTAATGTTCTTCATCGTAAAGACTTTGTCAAGAACTTTCTTGTCTATGTTTTGTAAAGACTTCTTCGTAAAGACTTTCTCATGAACTTTGTCAAGAACTTTCTTGTCTATGTTTTGTAAAGACTTCTTCGTAAAGACTTTCTTGTCTATGTTTTGTAAAGACTTTGTAAAGACTTTGTCAAGAACTTTCTTGTCTATGTTTTGTAAAGACTTCTTCGTAAAGACTTTGTAAAGACTTTCTCATGAACTTTCTTGTCTATGTTTTGTAAAGACTTTGTAAAGACTTTGTTGAGAGTTCATCGTAAAGACTTTGTAAAGTTCTTCTTCGTAAAGACTTTGTAAAGACTTCTTCGTAAAGACTTTGTAAAGACTTTGTCAAGAACTTTCTTGTCTATGTTTTGTAAAGACTTCTTCGTAAAGACTTTGTAAAGACTTTCTCATGAACTTTCTTGTCTATGTTTTGTAAAGACTTTGTAAAGACTTTGTTGAGAGTTCATCGTAAAGACTTTGTAAAGTTCTTCTTCGTAAAGACTTTGTTGAGAGTTCCTCATGAACTTTCTTGTCTATGTTTTGTAAAGTTCTTCTTCGTAAAGACTTTCATTTTATACTAAACATCTTCGGGGCTAGAGGGCACGAAGTGCCTGGAAGCCCCACTACCTTTTTTTTTTTTTTTTTTTTTTTTTTTTTTTTTTTTTTTTTTAGAGGAGGCAGGTTATGAGGTTGATAAATATTATTTAAGAAATTGTCAAAAATTCGCGGAGTTTTTAAATGAGTTTGATTATGATGGAAAAATGAATAAAGATGATGTTATAAATTTCTTATATCCCGCATCTAAAGAAGAAAAACCTAAAGAACCTGATGTTTTCCCTGAATATTATGAAGAACGGATTAAAGATGATGAATACAATGAAATTGAAAGACTGGAAAAAATAAGAGATGAAATAGATGAAAAAATTAAGGAATTAAGAGAAGTTGAAAAATATAATGAAAATGAAGTAGAGGGTTTAATGAATATCCCAGCTTCAGAATCAGCAGTTCAGAAATCTCATGAAGAAAGATATAAAAATTATGTCTCAGAATCAACACAAAATTTATTAGATGGTGAAATAGATGAAACACTTTCAGAAGAAGGTACTAAATTTATTCGTAAACATAAGTTACAATTTATTGATAATGAAGAATACCCCTGTATCCTACTTTCACCACCTTTAGATTCCGAAAAATTCAAAAAAGCTCTTAAAAACGTGACATATGCAACTAATACGATTAAGAAAGAAGATCATGATATTTACACAAATTATTATTTAAATAAATGCACGGGTGTTGATAAAGTTTTTGATTTATTAGATAAAATATCAAAAGAAACCATTGGAACATATAAAATTTTGTGTGATTGTGGTTTCATTATTGAAGATACCAATAATGTTTCATATGAAAGAACAGCACCGAAGGAAGACGAAGTTGAAAGGTCTATACCATTCGTTATTAAGAATATAAAAGATATGAAAACTTATAAACATTATATTTATTCATTTATTTCAGAAAAAATGGAAGCAACCCATAAAACATCTTCTCATCATTTTATAGCTATTCATACATTCCTTTTCAAAGTTGTGAAATTAAATAAGACAGGAATTAGATTTAATGTATCAGGGTACGCATTCTTGAGTAAATTAAAATGTATTCGTCACGTCGCAGATGATAAAAATTTAAAAAAAAAAAAAGGTAGTGGGGCCTCCAGGCACTTCGTGCCCTCTAGCCCTGAAGATGTTTAGTATAATGAAGTTTTTTTTTTCTTGGGATGGCCTTCCAGGCGCGTTGCGCCCTCTAGCCCATAAAAAATTTTTGAGAGTCGTCGTCGTTGACTTTTTTGGTAGAGCACTCAAAATAGTATAACTTTGTCCGGACAAGTAAGGGTCTATCGTCGCTACAGGAAAAGTTACGGGCGTTCCAAGGAAGTATACTTTGAGAGACTCTTTAGAAACTTTAGACGTTTTAAATAACCATCCATGCTTTTACTTTACATCCGATAAAAGTGGTTTGGAAACCGTTATGAGAATTTAGAGACATACATGACTATGAGTTAGATATGACAAGATAGAATATGAGAGAGGTCCTATAAACCGGAGAAAGTGTCATATAAACATCTGTCAAAAACCGCTTTTTAACTTCACTTAAAATGCCACGTAAGCTACGTAAGAATATACGTAAGAGGAAGAGAGCATTGAAACATCCAATAGTAAAACTGACACCACAACAACAGTTGCAACAACAAATAATGAATGACCCCACTATGTTGCAACAAATGTCAAGCAATCCTATGCTTTTAAACCGAGTTTTTGGTGCACAGAGTGGAGGTTTAAGAGCGGCACTTTTAGCGAAAATGGCAGGCTTATGGTGGAGCTGCAGACGAACAGCCTATAACCCTCAAAGTCAAATGAATTTGAGTTCACTCAAAAATCAAATATCAGATGTCAAAAAGTCAAACATAGACTACAGAAGCAAATAAGTGAAAACGAAAAGAAACTAGAATATGACAGACACACAAAGAAACTCAATGAAGTTAAACGTAGAGAAGAAAGAAGAAAGAAGAACAACTGAAAGAACTAAGTACAGAGGAATATGCGAAAAAAAGTGTCAGAAAAAGCAGCAGAAGTAGCAAAAAATGGAACAAGATGTTGTAAATTTGAAAACCATACTACTCAATATAAAGTACTGAAAGATGAAGAGATAAAACAAAAGCCCTGAAGACATATATGGATAGCGATGAGTATAAAAAAGAAGTTGAAGCAAATGTAAAGGCAGAAAAAACTTTACAGTTGCAAAAACCAAACCGTACAGTATGAAAACTTAGCACAAGAAAGTAAAAATAACGACGCAGCCATGCCAAAAGGCAATGAAAAGCGCAGAATATATAAAAGCTAAACAATGACTGGTTAGATGCCCAAGCCAACGCTAAAGCAGCCCAACTTATAGGGTCAATAAGGACAAAAATACAAGCGGATGAAGACAGTTCAAATGAAGCTTTAAATGAATGCTGACTTTAAGAACGCCTTCGAAGCTCTTCATAGTAAGGTGAAACTAGTGAACGACTTCTCATCTGGAAAGAAACTGAAGTCTGAAGGTTTCGACAACGAGTTAAGAGAAGTAGCACAAAATATGACGAAAATAACAGATGCAGCAACGAGACAGGCAGTTCAAAGTGCCTATGACGCCGTTAGAGCAACTGTTGTGGAAAGTCAAGAAAAAAGAGTTACAACAGACCAAAACAGACCTAGTGAAATGCTTTCTTAAAAACGAAAAGTCAGGTAGGACATTATGCTGCAGATGGAACATAGTGCCAGCTGGTGGAACTTATATACCAGCTGGTGGAACTTATATACTAGCTAGTGGAACTTATATACCACCAAACCCTCCAAGAGAAGCACCTGCACCAGGACTACCTAAAACATTTACATCGTCACATGGACACAGACACAGGCATGCACCAAAACCAACACAACAACCACCTCCACAACCAGCACAGCAACCAACAGTTCAAAATCCAGCACCACAACAACAACCAAAACCAACAGTTCAAAACCCTGCACAACAACCAACAGTTCAAAACCCTGCACAGCAACAACAACCAACACAGCAACCAACAGTTCAAAATCCAGCACAACAACAACAACAAACAGAGCAAGGACATAAAAGAAGTAGAGAACAAGGAAACCAAGAATTCTTAAAAATGCTTAAAGAAGACTATGGTTACCCAGATACTATTGACTTTAGTGACAGATATAAAGAAGCTATTCGAAAGTTCAAGGAAGGAAATACTGACCCGAACCTATTTAGCTTTATGGCTCAGCATAAAATCGGATATAATTTCAAACCTGGAAAATACAAGCTCGCTAAGGGATATGATTTAATAGCATATCGTCCAAATGACATGACTGAATTTACTCCGAGATATTTGGTGTCAGAGATAAATGACAATTCAACTCTCTTCATGAAACGCGTAAAAAATAGAGACGGAACGAAAGAAGAAAGGCTTATGAATGCAGATGACTTAAATCGGGAACTTGTTGAAAACGGTCTCGGAATATATGAAATGCCAGCAGATGAGGTACAAGAAACTCAACAGGAAGAAGTTCAGATACAACCAGACATGGAAGAAATAGTTCAGCAACAACAGCTAGAAGAGCCTGAAGGAAACGAACAAGTCCCTCCTTTGGAAACTAACTTCACAGAACTAGCTGAAGATTTGGAACAGCCGAAAAATCTTGACCCTCAACAAGAGTATGAGGTGAATATGGAATCTTTCCAAGAGTCTAAGAAAAATTCGGCTGACATGGTAGAAGAATATCGAAAAATGTTTGCCGACATACAAAAGACTCCAAACCAGATGAAAAATATTCAGCATAGAATGGAAGTACTGAAAGAAAATGTACACAAATACAACAACCCTTTTTACTTACGACCATATAACGTTCAATCTTTGGCTGAACTCGGTGAAAATAAAAGGTTAAATTTCAACAAAACATATAGAAATGAAACATTGTTTAAAGTTCATTCAGAACCTAACATATGGAAACAAACCTACTTTTGTTTCTGCAGACTATGGAACTACAATGAGATGGGTCATAAAGCTAACCCGGATAGGTGGTTCATAAACTTACAACCACAATTCCAAGAAGTTGTAGACGCAATGGAAGTCAATGGTGAACCAGATATAGCTGGTATTTTCAGCGCGGCTTTAATGCCATTGAAAGATATGAAACATGCAGATATTTTGGACCAGTATGAAATGAACATGGCTGATGGAAATATAACACCTGACGTTCTAGAACATTATCTCAAAGAACTACACAGAACCATAGAGATGGTATATTTGGTGAAGAGTTTAGAAAGAAAGTTAGGGAGACAGAAGAAAGAGAACCTATTGTACATGACCTTGCAAACGAAAGTTTGCAAAATGTCATAAAAACTTACTTTGCAGACAATGAACTGAGAAGGGATGAATATTTAAGAAAAACTCAAATGGACAGTACCAAATGAAATGTTAGTATTGAAAAACATGTTCCTTGACAAAATAAAACCAACTACAGAAATAAATGACGCAAGACTGAAACATTGGGTAAAAGCTTTCCCATTCACAAAAGATATTGTTGGTAACATGGAAAGAAAAACCAGAATGGCTACAAAAACATATATTTGGAAACGAGCTTATTCCATATGGACAAGCTCTGTTTGAAGAGCTTGAACCGGAAACTCAGGAAAGAGTCATGCAAACAATACGCGAAGACTCAAATACAAAAACATGACAAAATCTTTCTAGGATATAGGTTACCTGAGATGGGCGACCAGAGCCCAAAGGCAAAAAGGACATGGGAAATTTACAACATACTAGGTGAACATGGGCAAAGATGCAACAACTTGAAGCAGAGGGCAAGTTACCAAAAGCGACACCAAAGAAGAAGAGAAGAAGTAACTTCATCTAGTGAAAGTAGTGGCAATGAAGGAAAAAGAAGAGTTAAAAACTCAGCCAGGAAGAAAGTAAAGCTTGGTCCACGTGGGTTCTATTATGACACATAAATCCAACTATTCTATATTTTTACCCATATGAAATGTACGCCGCTCAGAATATAACGCCAACAGTTTTGGATGCCATGAATGGAAATGTTTCCGAATGTATAACGAATGCGACAATGCCATTAGAAGGTCAAAATAGTTCCTGGAACTTACGAATATACAACTGCTGTTTCTTATGGAAATGTAGGTGAGTTTGGAGAAGGTTCTTCAACAACAGTAGATATTGCTTGCGACAGGTTTCATATTATTTCTATTGACAACTCATTCTTATACGTGGAACAAGACATTGAAATAAAACCTTCTGCCAAGTTGTCTGACAAGAAAGGTTGCAATGGAATTTTCTATGTCGGATACCAATATGCTCCAGAAGTTTTCATGGGATATAAGATATATTCTAACTCTGACTTAGTTCAAACAGTAACATGGGCAAACTATGAATGGTTCGCTTTAAGAAACTCAGTACAACCACAAGCTAGAGAACAAACAGACCAGTATGCAACTATTGAGAAAATAAGAAGACTTGACCCTAACGTTCCAGGAGTTTATGTTAACCTTTCTGGACAAACTGCAGCAGCAGTAACCAAAGTAAAACTGAAACTTAGAGTTCCTTTGTCATCTTTCCTCATCTTCAGGTTTTTAAGATACTTGCCAAACTGGGCAGGAAAAATTT